CTCTGCTGGACACTATGCAGAGGCAAGGTTCATAATGATGTCATTGACTTCGTCATATCTACAGTCTATCTATATGTATATGTGTATATATATATATATATATATATATATATATATATATATATATATATATATATATATATATATATATATATATAATATATATAATATCCCATGTCGGCAATGGGCACGCGCCTAGATCCTGAATCCCTTTGTGTAGCAGTGGTCCTCCGCCTTGGTGCCCCAATTCACACTGAATACAAGTGTATTTGCAACAGGGTAGAAGCAGACCAATATGGACAGCATGGGTTGCATTGCGGAAGCACAAAGGACTGGCATGCAAGACACAACGAGGTCAATGACATCATCAAGAGGAGCCTCATCTCAGCTCAGTGCCCAGCAGAGAGAGAACCTCGCATCTTAGGGGACCAAAACCCCGATGACCCCGCACTTCGCCCTGATGGCATCACTATATATCCCTGGAAAAGGGGCAAACAGTTGGTGTGGGACTACACATTGTGTATCCACCCTGGCTGACACCTATGTACACTTCGGTGCTGATCAAGCAGGTGGGGCGGCCAATCACAGGGAAATACCATTAGTCAGATTCAGAAGATTGGAAGGTCAATACACTTTTGTTCCCATAGCGTCTGAGATGCATGGCCTCTGGGGTGGAAATGCCTTGGGATTTCTCAAGGAATTGGGCTCCAACCTCATTGACGTCACCCGAGACCCAAGAGCTGCCAGTTTTTTGTTTCAGCGCCTCAGTGTGGCGATCCAGAGGGAAAACGCCTGCTGCGTCCTCGGGTCTTGTCCGGAAGCGGAGGAGCTTCAGGAGATCCATAACCTTTAAAGTCGTATAACAAGTCGTTGCAAAGTACGACTTGTTATACCGAAAATATGGCAAATTAGTGAAAACAGCGAGGCGTCAAATTTTACCCAAACCCCCCTAACACTTTTCAGACTATCGGAAATTTCACTCATGAGCGTTATTTTTGAGCTGAATTCTGGCTCACTGCATATATTTGGAGTTGCAAATTACGACTTGTTATACCGAAAATATGGCAATTAGCTAAAACGCGAACGGTCAAATTTTACCCAAACCCCCTACAGTTTTCAAAATATTGGAAATAACCGTGGACATCTTCAAGAGAAAACTGGATTGTTTTCTAAGAAAAGTTCCGGATCAGACGGGCTGTGGTGGGTATGTGGGCCTGCGGGCCGCTACAAGCAACAGCCTGGTGGACCAAACTCTCACAAGTCAGGCCTGGCCTCGGGCCGGGCATGGGGAGTAGAACTCCCAGAACCCCATCAACCAGGTATCAAGCAGGTATCGGAAATCGGACTCATGAGCGTTATTTTTTAGCCGAATTCTGGCTCACTGCGTATATTTGGAGTTGCAAATTACGACTTATACCGAAAATATGGCAATTAGCTAAAACGGCGATGGGTCAAACCCCCCTACAGTTTTGAAAATATCTCAAATATCGGAAATCCCTGAAGAGGATGAACGAAAGGATTTAGAAGACATCGTTGCTCATGATGCACTTTATCTCATCACCAGATGCTTGTCCCTCCCCAGGCTGACCTACTTTCTAAGATGTTTGCCATCTTTTAAAAATATTAAATTAGAAGAGTACAACAGCCTTCTGAAATCAATGCTAGAAAAAACCCTCAACATTTCTCTCAGTGACCCATAGTAGAAACAGGCCTTCCTTCTTGTCAGACTCGGGGGGCCTCGGCGTTCGCACAGCAACACAAATTGCTGTACCAGCGTTCCTGTCCTCTTCAGTGGCGTCTGACAACCTGGTGAAGGAAATCCTACCTGAGCACCTAGTTCAACGGGCAAGGGTACATGATCCCAGCTTTACAGACAGCACCACCAAATGGGTCTCTCTCGCAGGACCAGCACCCCAACCACCGCCTTCTGAAGCCCATAAGTAGTCCAGCTGGGATCGCCCCATTGCCGACCAAGAAGCTGCAACAATGCTAGAAGCTGCGACAACACCACATAACACTGCCCGACTTAGAGCTGTAGCAGCTCCCCATGCAGGCGACTTCCTTTTAGCAATCCCAATGTCAGCAACCGGCACTCGTCTCACACTGCAGGCTCTTCGAATTGCCATGGCTCTCCGCCTCGCTGCCCCAATCCACACCGAATACAGGTGTATTTGCGGCGAGGCAGAGGCCGACAGGTACGGACGGCATGGCCTTCTCTGCCTAAGGACAGGAGGATGGCATGCAAGACACGGCGAGGTTAATGACATTATTAACAGAAGCCTCACCACAGTCGGTTGTCCAGCGGAGAGAGAGGCCCGTTACCTAATGCCCCGCAACTCTGATGAGCCTGTCGGTCACCCAGACGGGATCACGGTGAACCCCTGGAAGAATGGTTGACAGTTGGTGTGGAACTACATTTGCATTTCAACTTTAGCCAACACCTATGTTGACTTCAGTGTTACACAGGCAGAAGGTGCTGCCAATCACCGGGAAGCAGCCAAGTCACGTAAATACAGAGACCTTAATCACCACTACAATTTTGTCCCCATTGCCTCAGGGACACTTGGTGCCTGGGGTAAAAGTGCTGCTTGTTTTTTGAAGGAGCTGGGGTCCAAGCTAATTGAAACAACTAGAGATCCTAGAGCCGCCAGTATTCTCTTTCTGCGCCTTAGTGTGGCGATCCAGAGAGGAAATGCTCACTGCATCCATGGTTCCTGCCCGCCATCTGAGGAGCTGGAGGAGCTCTACAACCTGTGATAAGTATCCTTGTACCCTGCATCCTGTATGTATCCAATGTTGTAACCCTTTTTGTGTAATGAAATTTCAAAATAAAGTTAGATATATATACACACATACCAAAAGAATAGGGGTGGTAGGAGAAAAAATATCAGTGTGTTCAGTGAGGATCCACAAGGTCTTCTCTGAGTACTCTTTATTTTCTTCTCCGAGGCTATGGGTCCCTACACTTGCACCAGAGGCGGTACCCCTTTTAGGTTATATATATATATATATATATATATATATATATATATATATATATATATATATATATATATATATATATTATTAAATATGACCGAAAAAGTAAGATTAATAATTCTAACACTATATATATAGTGTTAGAATATATAGTATATATATATATATATATATATATATATATATATATATATATATATATATATATTATATATATATATATATATATATATATATATATATATATATATATATATATATATATATATGTAACTCCTTTTTAACTCCTTTTTGTAACTCCTTCCTTTTTTATATATGTAACTCCTATATATATATATATATATATATATATATATATATATATATGTAACTCCTTTTTTGTAACAAAGTTCAAATAAAGTAAATATATATGTGTACATACAAAAGAATGGGGGTGGTAGGAGAAGATAATATTGGTGTTCAGTGAGAGACCACAAGGTCTCCTCTGAATACTTTTTATTTTCTTCTCCGAGGCTATGGGTCCCCACATTGGCACCAGAGGTGGTACCCTCACAAACTTTTATATATATATATATATATATATATATATATATATATATATATA